TTTCATTTGGGGAGAGTCGAAATACTGTTAGGAGTTAAAATCCCTGATGAACTGTTGTTCCTTGACCTGCTTTATTGACTCGGTCACTAATAATATAGTTACGAATTTCGCCATGTATTTAATACTTTGTAGAGTTATTAGGATTTTTTTGAAGCAAGAGAGATTGAAAAATGAGCAACGCTTTCGCTGGGAATCGAACCGCGAACCTTTAATACGCGACCATCTTGCTGACCACGATGGGTCCACGAAGTCACGCAAAGAAGGCGGGAGAAATACCTTATATACTCCCCCTTTAAAGTGCGACTGGGGGATTAGCGAACACAATTGCCAAATCCTGGTGGAGGAGAATTGTCATCTTGCATCTTTTTTAGTTCGGGCGCCACTGTAGAGACATTAGGATTATTTCGGAAGCAGCGAGCCTTCGCCGGGAATCGAAAAAGTATCGGGAATTCGCCCAGCGAATTAACACCACGAGTCACGCATGCGGGAGAATATATAACTTAAGATACATTAATTAAAATTGAAGATATATTTCCAAAGTCAAAACTAATTTTCCTGACCAGCTTTGCCATAATATACTATTCGAACAAAAATTTACTCATCTTTTTTTTATTTCTAAATTTGTTGTTCATTTAAACAAAAGAGGAAAAAATTTGTAGTGTTTTATTTGGTCGTCTCGTCGGAGAACCATTATTACTGTCATTATTGCTCGACTTCCTTTTAAACGAATGGAAGCGCTCGTTTGCTTTCTTAAAGTAATTCTGGCATTTCTCCCGTTTTTTCTTGTCTTAAGTATACGCAGTTCTGCCTTTAATTAAAAAGGAACTGCCTTTAATGAAAGGCCAAAGAGCTGTAATAACAGTTAATTTAAGTGCGGTTGTGGAAACTGAAATAACATCTTGTAATCCTATTATGATAATGATTGCTTGCATTTTAACGTCCGAAATTATGAATGGGACATTTTCTAACTAATAATGACACTACAGTACTTTTGTTCCTTTACCGCTAATGTGATCGCGTAATTAAGGAACAACGTCTCAGGAGCTCAGAACCAAAATATTCAATAAGTATCATCTTAATGAGTAATTTATGCTGTTCTTATGTGACAGAATTGTTTATGATAACAAAAAACAAAAATATTTTCTAACCGTCTTTACATTTATTTTATTGAAAACGTGGCGTTTAAAGGGCAACAGTCACAACAAATAAACTTTGAAAGACTATTTTAAGGATAGTATTATGTGCATATGACAACAAGAGATCTGACTGTGCGTCTAAGGTGGATACCACTATAAATACACTGTTACTACTTCTGAGCCTGAGTAGTTAAAAAAACAGTATAATTCTGATATTATCAGACTTTGCAAAAATAATTATGTAATTTTAATAACTATAATAACATTCCAAAGTCGCGTTAACGCTTTCACTTTCACACACGTACTATACATATTAAGAATTCGATAGGTAAAAACATTGTCATGACAAGTGTCACTTGCCTTAGATGAACGATAAAGAGGGCGCCAGATTAGCTGTGAAAAAAAGAAGTATTCATTAAAAAAAAAAAAAAAAAAAATATTGTTATTGGCTTTTAGCTTGCAATACATCGAGAGATACTATTTTGTAACACCATATTTAAAGCGGAATTGTTGTCGTTTATTCTCAGATTCCTTTTAGCCCAAAGGAGCATTAGCCCAGATGGGCTATTATTCTTCAAACGGCATTTCGCGTCGAATTAATAAAAGCGTTAAATCACTTTTCAAATTGTTGTCACCAAATATTAACGCCCTTTTTTATTATTATTTTAAAATAGTTATTTTTGGTGGACATAAAACCTAGTTAACTTATAAAGAAGTGCGCATTCAACATTTCGCCTCGAATGAAGAAATAATATCAAAGCATGATTTTCTAGTTGAAAACTGGTTAACATCCTCGCCGGGATTCCAACACCGGACTTCCCAATTATTAACTGGAAGTGATTCCAACACTTCGAATGCGCATGGTAAGAAAGGAGAAATTTTCCTAGATTCTCTCTCACTTAAAGAGCGAATGGGCTGTCACCAAAACTAGATAGCAAAAAATTACCGTCCACCATATTTTAATTCGGGTCCACTTGCAAAGTCTTTTTTAGATGTTTTAGAACAAGAAACGGGATAAATCAGCGACACCTTAGTCAAGATTCGAACTCCAAGCCATTTATTGCTGCCAGTCGGATGTGCTTCCAATTATACTATGGGTAAGCAGAAAGTAACCAGAAAATTCCTTACAAAATAACCACTTCGAATTTTTTTCTAATTGCAGTTCATTCTAATAGTCAGTTGAAATTTCCATTCATCGATAACTTATATATTTTAATAATCTATTTTGGGTTTTAACTGTCGATCGATTTTTCTCAAAGTCATATCACTAAATAACAGCAACACATTCTTTTAACTCTTATTGCAACAGTCGTTGCACTATGATTCATGTTCGTATGAATATGACTCAGCGATAGATGCAAATAGCACGGCATTTGCTCTTGCTACTTAAAATTTGACTTCCGATGATTGCATAATAATAAAAAAAAAAAATCAAAATTAAAAAAAAAAAAAAAAAAAAAAACCTCTCACCTTAAAAGGAAGCACTTTTCTTATCAATGCTTAGTGACACGTTTATGTAGACAGCTGTGTACACTTTTATTTGAAGCTACGGAAGCCTGCACGCTGGGAGCGTATTCCAGAAGTCCGCGGTTCGATTCCCGGCGAAGGTGTTGCTCATTTTTCATCTCTCTTTCTTTCTTAACGTTTCCGCAGTTTTTAATTAATATCTCAACCAATTAAAGTCGTACGAAGATGAGAACGGTATCGATGGATTCGGAGAAATTTTTTGGAATCCGAAGATACGCGTCTCGAATTTACACTCGGCGCCGTTTCGTAGATATTCGAGAAAAAAGAATTTGGCACGTAGCCAAATCCCTCTAATAGAGAAAACCCGAGAAAGAAAGTGGAAAATGTAGCGAAAACGTAGGGAAAAATAAGTTTTTAATCAATATCTTGGCTAATTAAGTCCTAAGAAGACGCGAATGGTCAAAAGGGCGTGCCACGGACCTGCGGAATCCAACGGTGTGTTTCGCTAAGCCCGGGAGGCAGCCCTTTCGGATGAAATAATGTTACTTCATCCCATATATATATGCGGCTTAGGTGCCTGTTTGTCGCCGATAGTTTATTGGTTGCTTGAATAACTGTATTAGCCAATGGGGTGAAGTTGCCACAGCACAGCGTTGCCGTTTCAATTAAGACGGAGACAATTTCCTATAAAACTTGCCTTTGCTATGACCATCCATAAGTCTCAGGGTCAAACGCTTAAGCGTGTTGGCATTTTTTTACCTGAGCCTGCATTTGGACACGGTCAACTTTATGTTGCCTGTTCAAGAGTTCGTGAAAGAACGGACGTAAAATTAAAAATAACTGATGGCCCCCTGCAAGGCGAGCTTAAAAATGATGGAAAGATCTACACAAGAAATGTTGTGTACAAAGAGATCTTTGACATGTGAATTAACATTTTATTATTTAAATCACCTTTATTGATTGAGCTAGCGGTGGCACTTAAGAAAACTACCGCCAGTGGTTTCCTTTATTGCACTCTAAGCAATTAAGCAAGCAGAAGGGGGAAACCCCGTAGGGCAATAAAGTAAAGGGGCGTCCTCGCCGCCTGCCCTGGGTAATTCAGTTTGAATTAGCAGACATCTTTGCACAAATCATTTTAATTACAATTTATAATATCTAGTACAGTGGTCATTTCGAATGACTGCCGGGCTTTCTAACCAATATATGTATATATATATATATACATACATATACCCAACTCATCACCCGGCCTTTATGTTCGCAATCGTTGGCCATAGTCATATATTTCCAGTTATAGAAGTGTTTTAAAGACGAAAATATTCTCGATAAATAACGAAATTTAACTTTTAATGTTGTGTCCCGTTTTCTGCATTTATATTTGAGAAAGTTTTAGACTCGTTATGAAAAAATAAGATTATAAGAAGTCTGACTCCCGTAGGACAAAAATTGATCGTGGTATTTAATTTCAAACTTCGCAGTTTTTGATATCATTTCCAACTTGTCTCGAGGGATTGGTGAATTAAATTAGAATAATTCGAGGATATAAGTTTAAATGAAGTGCAGCAACAAATGTGTACAATTTAATAGGCCGTACAAGGAAGCCATGTGGTGCCTACATCAGATTTTTTTTTTAATGTATTTAACCCGGTCTGTTTGACGTGAATCCAAATCTCGCAAGTTTGAAAATATGCGCATTTTCGCGGTGTTTGTTTTGTGTAACATTAAAAGAAGTTAATTGCTTTTAGAAACTTTCTTCGTTTGCGAAGATAGCTTTAACATGCTTTGTCATAAAGTTAAATAAACAAACATAGTTAAAGTTCAATAGCAGTTAAATAAAGAATGTTTCAGTCCTTTGCGCACAATATCCACAGAAAAAAAAACACTTACGAATGTATTTGCTGACTTAGATGAGTTTTCAGTGCTTTTACCGGATTTTCATAAAATTTGTGGACAAACTACAAAATAACTATTGCTCGTTTTGGCGGTTGGGTAAAACGCAACCTTTTAGTAACTATCAATTGCTAATACCTCCAAGAATTTTGCGTATGTAAGTAAGAAACTTCTTGAATTTAATTTATTAAAAGCGTCATGAACTCCTTATTTATTTTGATCTGCTTTTTTGCTGGTCTTTTTGGAATTCGAAGAACTTTCTTAACTGCTTTTTTTTTATTTGCTTTTTTGAAGGACTTTTTTTTATTTCCCGAAATCATATAAAAATTAGATTTTGTATTCGCATCACTCCTTTTAATACTGAAACTATTTCATAAAATTCTTTAACATATTTTGAGAAATTTTGTTATTACGAGTAGATGTCTATGATTTTAAGAAAATAAAGCCTCTAACGATTTTCGAAATGGCTTTGTAGGTAGAAATATAAAATTATCTTAAATATTGCAGATTTTGACCAAGACGGGCGTCCAGATAACATCTCTTTTCTGATCAAGAGGATAAAAGTTCATACGAAACCTGATGATCCAGAATATAGATTCGTAGGCAGTTACGGTGTTGAGAAATTCCTGGAACTTTTTTCTGAAGATGATTATGACGCTTTTTGCCTCGCATACATGTTCACTTACCGAGATTTTGAAGGTGGAACATTGGGTCTTGCTTGGACAGGAGATCTGAAGAACGCTGGAGGAGTGTGCGAAAAGAATGGTGTAAGTAAATTTTGATATTTTTAAATGATACATTTTCTTGCAATATAAAACATCTCCTTCTTCAAATATAAGCAACCCAAGAAACTAAAAGTAATTTAAACATCACTTGTTTTTCACTAAAAACGTAATCAAATTATGACTAAATAATTTGTCTTGAGATCGACATACATGAAAAAAAAGATTTTCATACTGAAAATCTGAATATCTGAGAAAATTTTGCGCGAATTTAAGTTGAATATGAATTTGCAAAATATTTATAGACAAAGCTTATAGTATTATTCAATTATAATTGGGATAAATTTAAATGCTTATAAAACGCACTAAAAAATTTTTAATCATAGAATGCACAGGTGAAAATAAAGCGTAAGGACACTAGAGTGCGCTTACTTGTAAGCAAGCAAGGATTCCACAAGAATAATGTGCACGGCAGCTTCTGAGGCAATGGATTAGACTTTTGATTGTGGTGAATGTTAATGAAATGTTTCAAAATCCATGCATCCATTTTTATTTATATATAAAATCTGGCGTAATGGAGCTTGCATTCATCGCAAGGATTAATTAAGACAGTTTGAGGCCATAAACAAATTCTTTAAAGAGGCCCTAATGCCCACTTTTTAGTTCAAAGGGGCTTTGTCACTGAAACACTATTGTTTTCGTTTTGCGTCGGAACCCTATAAACGGCATATTACTTTTCAAATCGATGCCACCAAATACTATCGCCCTGTATTATATTTGAAGAAATTAAATAATGAAGAATCTTCATGAATGTATGCATGTTTCTCACATTGTGATAAAAACAACGGTACCTAGAGCCATCCAGATTTTGAAAACGTAGTCCTCCACCCGAATATTAGTATCTTGGAAGAACGAATTTTAAATTTTGGAATTTGTTTTATTATTTATTTCATATTTTGTAAGCCTTTAACGAAATTTGGATTAACAAACTCAAAGATTTCAAAGCGAGCAATGGCAACACTCTACGGCAGGGAAAAAAAAAAAACCTTTTTATGTCCTGCGCGCGGAACTGTGTATCGGAAATTCTAAAGATAGGCTTATTTTAAAATTATTTTGCGACATTGCTGTTGAACTGAATGTTATGGTTTAAGTGCAAAGAACATGATATTTAATAAATAAAGGTAACCTACAAAACGTTAAAAAAAAAAAAAAAAAAAAAAAAAAAACGCTCCTTTGGACGTAATTTAAAATCTGAAACCTTTCAATTTTTTTTTGGGGGGGGAGAGTGTGTGTGTGTGTGTGTGTGTGTTAGTATTATAGAGGAATAGGATTATGAGAAATTGCAGAAGGGTTTTGGACGACCTTGAAATCTGCGGTGCTAGTTTAGGGCTTTGCAGGCTTGTATTGTAATCAATTTTTGGCTAACTTTCAGAGAATTTTACGTTAATTAACTAGTTATTTATAATTTCAGCCTTTACTATAACTTCTCTCCGCATTCCTGAACAGAATGCAAATGAGTAGTGAGTATATAAACTGAAATATTTTGGTTTTGAGGCAGAGCGTGTTTCTGGCATCGAGTACGCTCTTCATTGTTAGTTTCCTGACAGCTCTGATAGTTGTAAATAGTCTGCTAGTTTCTGCTTTGCGTTCCATCGCTGCTGACACTTTAAATCTGACGCTCCGGTGAGTTAGTGAGCCAGCTTCTAGTGTACTAATTAATTGTGTAGTCTTTGAGTACTGATCAATGTGTAACTAAAAGTTGCCTGTTCTGTTTATTTGCATTACAACGAGCTGTGGTTATATTTTAGCATAAGAGAGTGCCTTCGTGTTCTAAATTCTGTTGAAATAAAAAGGTTACTTTTCACCGTCTCACGAAATTGCCGTTGTTTCAGACATAGCGATAATTCACTTTACGTATGTTAGGGTTATTGGGCTAAATAGCATTACCAGATCAAGTATAACCTTACAAACGGAAAACCAGCTCGAACGAAATGAAGTAAATTTATCTCGAAGATACAAACGTTTAGCATTTTTTCCATTCTTTAGAAATAAATATATGTTTCAAAATGATATTCAAGTCAAAATTTCTTGAAGCATCATTTAATTAAAATTATTTAAAGTCTTAAAAAGCATTTTTAAAATTCATCGTTAAAATCTGAAACTGTATACTTAAATAATTACTGACAATAAAATAAATTGATATTTAAAGTAATAATTTAATGCTAAGTTTATCTCCATATAAATCATCCATCTATTTTTTTTAGCACTACAGAGGCAGCTTAAAAAGTTTAAACACTGGCATCATAACACTATTGAACTACGGCAAGCATGTACCACCAGTTGTGTCTCATGTTACATTGGCTCATGAGATTGGACATAACTTTGGATCACCTGTAAGTATAAAAATTTGCTTCTGTTTGTTATTAAAAGGTACATTTACAATACTCAAAATATATCATCATACTATTTTTAATTTCAGAATTATTTCCAAAACTGGAAATGTTTCTAAATAATTTCAGACCCTAACACCTCCATTAAATACATTTTCAATAAAAATAATTCAGATAACTTTTTAAAATCATGTATGTTTTTCTGTCAGCATGATCCAGAGGATGATCTTCACTGCACTCCAGGGGGAGATCATGGCAACTATATAATGTTTGCTCGTGCAACATCTGGTGATAAGAAGAATAACAACAAGTTTTCACCTTGTAGTTTACGGAGCATCAATGCGGTCCTAAATACGAAAGCCCGTAGTGTAAAAGGTTGTTTTACGGGTAAGAATTACTTTTACGAGAGCTCAATTTAAATATTTAAAGATAATATTTCTACAACACATGCTGTTAGGCATTCCAATGGTATAAATTCTGATAACAGATAAAAGAAATTTAGAACACTAATTTTATTTAATATGCTTTTGAAAATGAAATATTCTTGATGCGTAGAAGCAGAAATGCATGCATGCATATGTTCAGATATGTTTATGTGTAAGTAAAAACGTTTAGTGAAACAGATTTTAAAGTTTTTATTTAATGATCCTTCCAAATGTAGAACATGCAGTGACTGCACTCGTCGCGAAAGACATACTTGAGCTCGAAACCTGTTGTTAACTTGCCCATGTGAGACCCGAATTTAACTTAACCATGCGAGGCATCATGTGATGGCTGCATAGGACCTAAGATCGGGCTTCACTTATGGTAGATCAGTAGTGAACAGCGACGTTTGTTCACTGTGCCATATATCGGCAGATTTCTCCAATATACTTTTAGAAATATCTTCCAAAGGCGTTCGTCCTTTCGAATAAATAAAAATACCATCACTAAAGAAACAAGTTGCAAGGCAATAATTCTCCGCCTTAAGCAAAAATGTCAAAATGATTTAATTTTGCAGATAAAATTATGACAAGACACAGAAATGCATGAATTAAAAAGAGAAATGAAAACAAGTTTAACTGCAGAATTTTTTTTTAACTTAAACTTCGTAATAAAATAATTAAAGCTATATAGCTATATATTATAAATAAATTAGATATTACTTCAGAGCCTGAGAAATCAGTGTATCGAAAGAAGTGATGGAAAATTAAATCCGATATATGACATAGACTGGAGGGTGCTTCCTCCTGGGTGATGTCACATGTATTCTACTTGCAATGCTTCTTTTCTTTGTTTCCTTTCTTTTTTGGGGGCGCACTAGTTGCTTTTCCAGGCTTTACACTAACACTTAATTTATTCAATAAATTTTATTTTAATTATTTTTCTATGTGCTTAACTCATAAAGGAAATATTTTGTCTTTTCGCTAAATTGCTTGCATTTTTTCTTTATTTCATATCATTTTCCATCTTGCTATTTATTATTTCCATAATTTGATCCTATTGACATTCAGAATCTGCTGTGCTTTGCATATTCACTTACTATATTTACAGAGATTGTCCAAAATAATAGAAACATCTAAAAATATGAAGAATTGTATGCCTAATAAGGAGTAAGAGCATCTCTGGCATACGAAACTGAACTATTTTTGAAAACTATTTTTGAAATGGAAAATTAAGGTCTTGAATATTGGTAACAGATATTTTATATTCTTCTATCAGAAATTGCTTCAATTCTTTGAGAGATGCTGAGATAAAAAACAGGTTATTAGTAAGAGAGAGGAGATATGTGATGCCATCTTCATGTTCTTCAAACTATGATTGAACAGTTTAACTTCGGTCAGTCTCAATGGAATGGTACAAACACTAGGGAGCCTATGCAGGAAGCGCTGTCCCTGTCAAATGAAAACTTTCCTTGTGAATTTTATCACTTTGCATAAATGTTCTTTGATAGAAGTTCTTTTAGACTTCACTAAGAAATCACTAAGCACGAATAGCAAAAATACCTACATAGCAAAGTAAACGTTAGTAGAAGGCAAGAGTAGAATTAATATTGCTACCCCTTAAATTAAATTTACGATTAGAATTGCCCTTGAGCATTTAACATTACTTTTGTCATATTTAAATTTTTAACTAACTCCATGTTTTAACGATTTTCTTTTTCTAACGTTTTTTCACTGAGTTTGTGAGTGGCAAAGTGTATAACTTTTGTTTATGTTGTGAAAATAATTAAAGATAGAAATTCTTTTTGCTATAAAAAAGTAGTTTTTCTTCAGATTAAATACATTAAATGTTCACTTTTCTGGATCGCACGAATGCTGATAGCATATTTTATTCCCTGCGGAGCAGACTCACTTAGACAGTTTAGCTGCGCTAACAGAAAATGCATTTGAAAAAGAGTATGAAATTGTTAAATGTTTTTGTGAAAACGGCTTAAGAATTAAATAAAATTCTACGTTTTCTGTTCTCTGAAGAGCTCTGTTCTATGTTTTGAAGAATTATGTTTCATTAAATCAAGTTCTGTGTTCTGTGATGAACTATATTTCATTCCTTGAAGTTCTATGTTATATGAAGAACTATGCTCTGTTTCCAGAATGTCATATAATGTTCTATATTATATAAAGAACTTCGTTCTATTCCCTGAAATTCTGTCTTCTATGCTACACGAAGAACTAAGCTCCATTCCTTGGAGTTCTCTGTTCTATTTAGAAGTAGGTCAATACCTTGAAGTTTTATGTTCTATAAAGTTTTATGTTTTGTTCCTTGAAGATCTATGCTATATGAAGAACTGTGTTCTGTTAAGTTCTATGTTGCAGGAAGAACATTGTTCTATTTAGCAGAGCTTAAATTGGGTCGGAGTCCACCGGTACTTCTCCTCAGTTTTTTAGATAAAATATAATTTTAGCCGGAGCGCACCGAACCCCTGAATGAAACTTTTTTTCTGTAAGTGAACCCATTCGACTGGCCATTGTCTTAGGACGGAAATGATCCCGCTGGCGAGTTGTAAGTGAACCCTAGTTTCAACAGACAAATTTTATATTAATAGTAATTATGCCTTAGAAATCTATTCTAACTTCTGAATGCAAACCTCTCTTTCCCTCGGACACACTCTCTTTCCCTTGGACAGAAGTTGAGACTTTTAAAGAAAGAAAAGCCCCCGCTCCCATTTCAAAGGCTTATTCTGTAGAAAGTGCAATGATTTATGAGGCCGAGTAGATTTTTCGTTCCAGAAAATACTGAAAATGATAAACTGGTCGTGCACATGCCACGCTAGTGACTTCCTCCTGCAGTCCTCGAGTAGACTTTTTAACGATGTGACCAAATGAAGGGGACCACTACTGTCACTAGTACAGAGGAATCACATTTATTCTCACTTTGCTAATGGATCGTATTTAGGGAAAATTTCTAATTGACAGCTACAATTATATCGGCGGGGCCATCGCTGTCAGAAAGTTTTGCTCTTTTCAGTAATAGTCCTCCTTAACGTCTGTTTAGGTCTGCCAGTAAATTACGTTTTCCTTCCGCAACTGTGATTCGCTGACGATGTTTTGCCAAAAATTCCGTATGATCTTTTGACTTATGATACAATATTCTCGATATACCCCTCAATCAAATAAAAACCGCAGACAACCCTATTCTGCTAGAACACTTTTTTTTTGTAATTTAAAATTAATTAATTAAATTTTTTTTGTAATTTTTGTACAATATTTGTGTTTGCTACTATTTTATTACTGCAGCTTTATGTACGTAAAAGAAGTCTATCTTAAAAATTTAACAAAAAAAAAAAAAAAGGCTGAAATAGTATTTCGTATTAGGTTAAAAGCGCAACGTAGGATTTGGGTAGATTTTGAATTAATAAATTTTTTGAAATAAAATTTATTTTTGAAGAAAAATCGATTGCAAAGAGTGATCAGACATAGACTCTTCTTCTTCAGGAGCAAAATATGTTCTCAAAAGTTGGAGAAACAACACATTCATCACACACTTATAAAAATACATTAGAGAGCGGGAATATAGCAGGTGAGATACTTTCAGAAACTTTAGCTAAGTTGTATCGAACTTTTCTTTTCTTAGCTCTATCAGTCCCATATTTTTTAATTTTGAACTTTTTATTCAGAAGGGACTTGAGTCCCGAAGGACTATTACTTTCGTTTTAGCATTTTGCATCGGACGGATAAATGTCGGTTCACTTTTCAAACTGTTGCCATAAAATGTTAGAGTCCTGCATTATATTTGAAGAAATTAAATAATGAAAATCTGCGTAAATGTATGTATATTTCTCGTATTGTCATAAAATAACGGTACATAGAGTCATCGAATTTTGAATAACGTAATCCTCCAACGAATATGAGCATGTGGAAGACCAAATTTGAAATTTGAAATTTGTTTTTATGATCGATTTCTTTTTTTTTAAAACTTTGACGAATTTTTGATTAACAAACTCAAGGATTTCAAAGCGAGCAATGGCAACGTTGTGCAGAAAAAAATTTTTATCTCCAGCGCGTGAGTCTCTGTATCGGAAATTCTAAAGATATTCTCGTTTTAAAACTATTTTGCGATATTGCTGTTGCACTGGATCTTATGGTTTAAGTGCGAGGAACATGATATTTAATAAAGAAAGGTAACACACAAAATGTTAAAAAACGCCCCTTTGGACGTAATTTAAAATCTGAAACATTTCATATTTTTTTTTTGTTTTTAGTTAGTAATGTGATAGTTTGTTCCTAAACCAAACTCTTTGTTTGTTGAACTGCGGTGCTTAACCACCAGGGTTCTTTCATCCTGCGGGCAGAAAGACTTTCTATTGCATACCTCCTTTTCTAATGCAATGTAAGGAATTTGTCTGTCAGAATGTAAACATAACAATCACGGTAGGTTAAGGGTACTAAAGTGTAGAATCGTCCACTTATTTGTTTGGTGCTTTTTACAAGAGTAAGAAGAATTAGATTTTTGTCAATTTTCTTTGACTTTTTAAGTGAAAATGAGTCGATGTGTAAATGGATACCGAGTATGTGCAATTCTTAAAAACGCGTCAAACAGTGGGTGATTCGGCACTTTCACCGGTTACGTGATTGGATTTCATGCAGTCTTCTTTAAAATAGAGATATTTTAATTTTTGTAGTGTGTAAAAAAGTATAAACTTGCAAAGATGCTATGCCTAACAACTGTGTACCAAAGAATTGCAAAATTACATTTGTAAAAATTAGTTTTCATGTTTCCATAATTGCTGCATAAATGTGACTTATTGAATTTTTGGTAAAATCCTAGTATACGGTGCAGCCTTGGCGCGATTTTGAAAATTATCGACACCACCAAAAATGACCCAAAGAACGTCTATGTATATGCTATCACTATATACATAATATATACTATGTATAACTATATATATTCCTTGAATGACCCGTTTACTACTCATCGTATATGTCCCGTTTTTACTGCTCATCATAAAGTAGCCAAATCCCGTGTGCACCAGATACTAGGATTAAACCGAATTTTTTAAATTTATACTCATGATTCGACAATATTTTATTTATTTTTTCTGATTTTTCAGAGCCATTGGATGCTGTGTGTGGAAATGAAGTAGTAGAAGGGGCTGAAGAATGTGATTGTGGTTGGGAGGAGGATTGCCATGAACCTTGTTGTTTTCCAATGAGGGTTAACCCTCCACAGGATCAGCCACCGTGCAGACTTCGTCCAGCAGCATTTTGCAGGTATAATTATCACATAACAATGTAAGGAATTTTTTCTATGAAACATATTAAAATCCATTTGGCTAATCTTTATTTAAACCATGGAAAAGGGGCAATAATTTTGGCTATTACAGATGGACAATTATAAGTTATCTCCCCCCAGCCTTTAAATATTTACATTTCATTTCACGTACACTTGATTTATTAAAAGTTCTTAGACTTTTTATACTAAATTATTTTGTTAAAATTATTACAGGGGTCTGGGTAAAATCCTAGTATACGGTGCAACCTTGGCACGATTTTGAAAATTATCACCAACACCTAAATGACCCATTTACTACTCATCGTGTGTGCCACATTTACTGCTCATCATAAGTTTGCCAAAAGTAGCCAAATCCCGTGTGCACTGTATAAATAGGATTAAACCCAGTGCCTGTAATGGTTATCACAGTTACCATCTTTAAAAGTTAATTGCAAAGATTTATTTTTGGTTCTGAAATGTGAAATTATAGTATACAATCATTATTTCCATTTAAATAGGCTGTGTATTTATCATATCATGATTTTTTTGTTATATTGTAATGATAATTAAGACACAATAACACGCCGAATAAATTTTAATGATATTTTTAATTATATACTTTCCAAGTATTATTTCTTCAGGCCTAAAAACACTCATAATTCTCCTCTTAGAAATAAACTGAAGCTGTTTCTTCATTTTGTACCACTTGGACTTTTGAAGGGCTTGTTGTAGGAACAGTACTTCTGTTAGCTGAGGAAATCTGTTTAATTTTCTTTCCTTAGAAATAAACTGATGCTGTTCCTTCATTTTGTACCACACCACTTGGACTTTTGAAGGGTTTGTTGTAGGAACACTACTTGTGTTAGCTGAGGAAATCTGTATAATTTTCTCCCCTCAGAAATAAACTGAAGCTCTTTCTTCATTCTGTACCTATTGGACTTTTGAAGTGTTTGCTGTAGGAACATTACTTTTGTTAGCTGAGGAAATCTGTATAATATTTCATTGCTTGTAGAACATCTGCCTGAAATGAGAATGATACTGACTATTATTAACCTTACTGCTATTGTTTAGAATATTATAGCACATCATTATAGTATTTTATTACTAGATTTATATTACTGCATTCAAAAGAAAACAATTTATAAAAATTTCATTAATTATATTGATTTTCAAATTAATGTTTTATGCAAAGCAAACACTTTCTGAAAGTCAAATTTTAAATTATTGAAACATTTATTTATGCAGAAAAGACTTGACTGTCCGGGAAACACGGGGAATGTTAGAAAAGGTTTTCTTCATAAGGGGATTGTAATGTTTTCTTTACATGGTCCACTCTGACAATTGCATGTGAACATGAATCTAAATCCTTTTGGAACGATAATTTCTATTTTCTTTTAGATTGTCTTTTAACTGGTTTTAATTTTTCCATTTGTTTTTGCTGTTCACTAGTGAAAAATATCTGGTTGTAATTTGGTTTTTGGTTCTTGAAAGTATTCTCCTAGTAGCTTTAGTGATTTACCATAAACCATGTCTGCATTAGAGCAGTTGCTATCATCACACAAAGACGCGTGTGTACCAAGAAGTATAGTTGGTAAAGTTTCACTTCATTTGACTAAATTTTGAGCTCTAATGACTGCATTTAATGTTCTGCATTGCCTTTCTATTTTTTTGTTGCTTTGTGGATGCTATGAAGTTGTTGTTTGCATTTTAATTCCGCAAATAATACCTGAACTTCTGAAAAGTTCTGATATAAACTGATTTCCTCTGTCTGTAATTATGCTGTATGAAACACCAAGGTGACAAAACTAGTTTTTAAAAAAGCTTTTGTGATTGTTTCTGTCGTAATATTTTCTAGTGGTATAACTTCCACCCAGCAAGCAAAGTTATTGATGCATTTTAAGCAATATTTATTCCCATTTAATGGTGGGTATGGTCCAATTACATCGATATAGACAATGTTAAATCTGTCATCAGGTTATTCAAATGAGTTGAATTAGAGCAGATGTGCCAAATAATTTTATTTTTATAGCAACTAATGCATGTTTTTGCCCATTCTCTAACATCTTTTTTTAATATCCTTCCAGATGAATCTTGATGATACTTGTTTCACTGATGATTTGAGGCCAGAATGGTTGAAGTTATGTATTTTATGGAAAACATTTATTCAAAATTGTTGTAGTATGAACGGTCGAATATTTGGAGTTGAAATATCACACCAGATTATTTTCCAGGGGGTAATGGATATTGTTTAAAATTTTAATTTTTTGTACTGTTTAGTTATTCATTTAGTTCTTCATTATTTATTTATTCATGAGCAGTTTTGTCATAAATGATGTCTGAAACTGATTCAGTTCTAGACATTGAGTTTGCAGCAATAATATCATTCCAAGTTATGTATTTTATATTTGTTGAAAATTGAGAAATACACTGGAGATGTCTTAATTGTCTTCTTGATAGCTTGGAAACACATTATGTGTATTAGCATTAAGAATTTACAAGAATAACAATTTTTCTTTCCTCAGTTTGGGTAATTTCTGAAGAACACATAATTTTTTTAGCTCTGTACTTGTATTTCTGTTTCCAATTCAAACAGGTGATTTTCTACTTTTTTGCTGTTATTTAATATACACTTTTCTGCTTTTGTTTGTTGATGCTTTATCACGTCTCTGTTTAGTAGCTTGTGATCTGTGAATATAATAAATCCTCGTCCTTCTAGCATATGTTTAAATTGTTTCATGGGCTGATTTGATTTGGTATATATAATTATGGCATCTGCCTAAGAGGAAGCATGCCTTTGTGGAGGACTTTCTTAGGGAAACTTTTTCATACATATTACATATGGAAAAAACCAAGAAAACACCCAGAGCAGTTAGCCCATTCTCTGGGATTCAAACCGCAGATGTTCAGCAACTGTTCAGAACTGCCGATGTTCAGCAACTTGTTTGATGGAAAGATAGATACATAAAAGTTCCTGGTCATTTGTGCTAAAAGCTGTTTGAGTTTCATTTAATTTTTTAGAATAGATTGAGTAACTTTCTGGAACTATTTAGTTTCCAGTCTCCATCATCATATTACTGTGGAATAGATCTAATTGTGAAATTAGAGGCATCTGTACTTAAAAATGATGTTAGATCTGAATTAGGAAAGGTTAATAAGCCAGCTTCAATGCCAGTGAAAAGGTGTTTGATTTGTTCATTTTCACTTTCTTTGAATATATTTACAAAGCGCTCTTTTGCCAATGAATATTTATTTTCAGCCTTATCAGTTGTTATGTCCCAAATAGTGTATATATTTAGGTTCCATTTATGAGACAATGTAGTTAAACTTGGTATCTATTATTTTATATTAATTATGCCATTAAATTTAAATTGTGTTTCTATCTAATAAAACCAAATTTCTGCCGTACCTATCCAGAAAGGAGGAATTTTTACACTTATCTTCTAAGTTTCCAAAGGATTAACACCATCTGACTGGTTTTCTAACTTCTCAGTATTTGCCATAAAATTTACGGTTACCAACTCAGGTCACTGATAAATATAATGGTTGCTACGTCACAGAGCATTATTTTTTTGCTTAAGAATAACATTTCACTTCTATATTTTTAAAGAAAATTATTTATTATTTTTTAAGACAGTGATCTTTTTAAAACAATATTATTTCAATAATATTTTTTTGTTGCCATTTGCATTTTACATAAAGTTGTAGAAATAAAGATTATATATGGTTTGTAGAGATTACAGTGGTAATTACACTAATCAGTAGTTGTGTTTAAGGATAATCTCAGTTCTTTACGGAATTCTACTCATGTATATATTCCTTTGCTCAACAATAAATAAAGCAAACAGTTGCTATAAATGAGGTATGGTCATTTTCTAACATTTTGCCTACAAATTTATCCATTACATTTCCATAAAATTTGTTTGTTTAAGAAGCAGTATTTCATAGAATATGAATTTTTTAAATCCCTATTATTAGGCAAAATGCAATATATCTGAAAAAAAAAATCAGTGTTTTTTTTTCATCAGTTGTATTATGATACATTATGACAACAATAAATGCAAAAGGAAATCAAAAATTGTCATTGTATTTCAAAAGTCCATATGTATTTAAACACGTGTGTTATGCATATATCTTGTTATCATATAAATATTTTTTATGAGGATGTGGATAATCAGAAATAATTATCCTAGAAGTTAGGTTATAATGATTTAAGTAGTCTTTAAAACATTTGGTGCAAATTTGCATGTATTGGTTTATGTAAATATTGAATGCAACATTTTTAAAAAATTATTTTCCTTAAACCCATGTAATTTTACATAAATAATTTGTAGAGCCTATACATTTTCATTTATTTTCAGTTCTTGTATTTTAAGACCACTATGTATATTTTCAGCCCTAGCCAAGGACCTTGTTGTTCTCAAGACTGTCGTTTAAAGTATGGTGTTCTGTGCAGAGAAGATAATGGTTGTCGGACTGCAAGCTACTGTGAATATCCTTTTGTTATTAAAATTGAAATTCTGAATGTATAATATTTGAATTCTGCATCTAATAATAGACTACATTTACTGAATATTTTTTATTTTGTTTTGCATTGTTATGTTGCAGAATAGTCATCAGATATGAACCAAAGAACAATTAAGATTTTTCTAGAAGCTGGTACAGTTATGATGAACATGTTTATTTTATATCATGAGATAAAGGTCCAATTATTTTACATTTGAACTAATATCCTAACTTTTAGCATATCTGCTCTGTGTTTAAAGAATTTTTTCAGTATGTCATCCCATGTGGTTTTTATCATTTGTGCTTACAATAAATATGTCCTTCAATTTCATTTGCAGGAAAATCTCCTTTCTTTCTTCCCACTAAATGAAAATGATTCTTTTCTTTCTTCCCACTAAATGAAAATGGTTTTTAAAGTTTTTAGTCTGTCGTAACATTTTTAGTGACTTACATTGTAGACAACTTTTTAAACTCTAGTTTACTGATAAATCAGTTTGCTGCTGTCAATATTTTACTAACTATCAGCTTAAAATTACACTATAAATGTTTAAAACTGTCTTAAATAATTTTTAAGATAAACTTTTCAGATTTTTCTGTAGTAAAAAATAAGTGCCTTTGACAAAAACATTGGTTATTGATGGCATTTTGCATTTTTTTAGACTGATGCTGTTACGTTTTCAAGAAAATAAATTGTCAAAGAACAGATTGTTTATTACTAATTCATTCACATCAAGCAATCCAGAATCTTAATTTCAGATACATCAGGTTGGATAAAATTTTTATAATGAATATTGATTGAAAACAGATCTGGTAATTTTTTAATGGTTCTATGATGGCTTATATCTGATGAATTTTGCTTGTTCTGTACCAATATGATGGCATTTTTTCACATAATAAATTCTTCTCTGTGTGTAATTTCTGACAGTACACTACAGAAACTGTTTGGAATAGTCATCATATTTTCTAGATCTCATTCCCATTGATTTCTTTGTATAGGGATATATAAAGTAATAAGTTTGTATGACTACCATTGCCAATAAAATTTAGAAAACTGTATTAGTGATTAAATTATTATATATTTCTGTGTATAAGCTGAGAATTTTTTTAACTTTCTCTAAAGCAAAATTATGGGGTCATCTTGTATACAGATATGCTAATCTCGCAGACACCTAGATACTTTTCCATTATCCAGGCGCGAGCAATAAATGGCTAAATACCACATTTTTTATTTCTTTGGTTTGTATTTAAGTTCATGAAAAAAATTCATTTTAAATTAAATAAATTATTTGTTTTATAAAATTATTTCATTTTGAAAATTGTTTATAGTGCTGGTTTGTTGCATCATCCCGAAAACAAAAGATTTGATGTTGCTGAAATTTCTGTCCAGCTTTTTCCACTTTCGAACTTGTTTTTTCATTTACAGAGAGATGCCGAGCAGTCATACTGTTCTTAAAATTCTTAGCAAATCTTATCATCTGCTAATTGAAATTTGCTATATAATAATTTCTCTTCCTGCTCATCTTTCAATCAAAAAAGCAAAATGACACAGTAAGACTAGCACTAATACCACAGATCACATACAAGGACAGCAAAGAAATAGAATAAATGTTGTATCTTCAGATAGGTTTACCAGATTTAAAACTATTGTCTTTGGCATCAGTGATTTTCTTTACAGCATTTTAATTAGAAAATGTTCAACCCATTTTACCTGCTTAGTAATTAGTAGTAGTTTCTCCGTCATAGTGACATATTTGAATGCTACTGGATAATTTTTAATTTTGGCTTATATGCAGGTTTTGAATTTTGGGTGATTTTTGAAAAAAAAGTGAGCTCTCAGCTTATATATGGAAATATGCAGTAGATAAGCATTCCAACTAATGAAGAATATTTTTAATGTCTGTGGTTCATTAAGATTTCAGAATCTTTCTTTTCTGACAGAGGTTTACATATTTATTTCTTTCATATACCCACTTTTTAATTGTTAATGTTATGTGCAACAAATCTTATCATACTAAGTATAAGATACTGTAAACTTTCTAAAAGTTTCCACATGGCTTTCTTCATTTTTGAGGCAGGCATTCTGATTTTTTTCAACTTTTTACTAAATGTATTTCAAAATTTCTGAATCAGTAGCACACACATCTTTGGTTTTCTATTAGTAATCTCTTCATCTTTAGGACATTTTAACTGAAAATTTATGGGCTTATGAACATGAATAAGGATTTATAAAGTATAAATAATGCAAGATATAAATCATATATACATGTATAAATGATCCATACATAAAAAAAAGGAATAAATATTACTTTCACGGTATGTGCTAATTCTCATTTGTTGAAAATTGCTTAGGGAAATGAAATTTAGAATAAATATAATGGGCAACTTGGCACTTATCATTATATTAAATTTATCGTTCTTTTACTGTCATTTTCAGGTTTCAGTGTCATAAGACTTGCACCTGAATTATTCAGGTACTAAGTAATCATATTATTTTTGTTCTTGAACTTGTACTAGAGATGCGCTAAAAGACTCAAATGTGCTATTAATAAATAGTCATCTGGAATTTTGAGATAATTTATTAACAGTGATGAGCTGATTCATTAATTATCATTTTATGCACTTTACATAAGCTAGTTTTCTGAGTTAGAGTTAACTTAGAAAGTTGTGCAAGTTTTTAATTTTTTAATTTAAAAACATTTTTATAGTATTATTATATTATATTTAGTGAAACATTATTATAGTTCTGATTTATTACATACTTCCAATATTGTTACTTTGATAATATGTGATTTTTTTTGCTGTAAAGGTTTAGTAAATATTATCTTTACAAACACATAACTAATTCAAATCTATTTCTTTTTATACAATTTTGTATGATATTGCTCAAATGTAATTTCTTTAACCAACTTTTACTGGACAAGGACCTTTGTGTCCTCCCTCTACAAAAAAACCTAATAAGACTGTATGTAGTGAAGAATTTGTGTGCTACAATGGGGTAATTCTTTTCTTTCATGTCACTTATATATATGAATAATTTAAAAGTGTAACTGCATTTTCAAATATTTGCTTTGTAAAATTTTGGAGTAAAAGTGAAGTATATATGTCGTTTTAAAAATTTAATGAATTTCTTCAATTTATAAGTGTTAAATAACTGATTCTTATAAGAGTATAATAGCTCTTTAAATTATTGTTTGTGAGGAATAAATGTTCAGAAACTGATGTGAATGATTACTGCATATAAAGCTTAAAGCTTATTTAAACCCAAAACCAATCTTCTTTTCAGCTAAGTATAAATGTGTTTTCTTAGATGAGAAGTTCAATATAAAAGGAGGAACATATATTTCTAAACTTTAAAATTTCAGATACTTTCTAGTACAATCAAAAGTCATTAATTCTGACATAATCCGGAATGATCTATAATCCGGACCTCAAAGCTACAAACTTTCTGCGCATGTGCGTAAGACCTTTACGGCTGCGAATATGCGTGTGCGCGTGCGCAAAATACGTTTACGAATGCGCGTTTAATGTATAACGGATGGTATAAGCTAAGCTAAAATTATCTAATTTAGTTAATGTTGCAGATTGTGTTCCTTAATCTTCAAATTGGATTCGGCTTATTATTTTTTCCAGACTGTTAGAGCAATTTTATAAAAGTAAGCTTGAACTTTCGATTATGTCAAATAGAATTTCTGATATATATTTACTAATATGTGAAGGATCTACAAAGCGAAAGTATGTTTCGAAGTCCATTAAACAAAAAGTGGAATTGCTGCAAAAAATGGATAAAGGCATATCCTTTGTTTATCTAAACTTTTGTTTATCTTTAACGCCGCGGTGCGCAATGAATTGGAAGTTGATCTGTCAGCACTATCCTTATCTTCAGGGCAGATGTTTTTATTTTATTTGGCTTATAATTCCTTACTAGATGTAGTATTTCATCTCGATGTACTCTGTCTTTGATATGATTTAAATCAAATTCCTCGTCATTATAATTCGCTTCCGATAGCGAAGAAAGTGACAGAGGTTATTGAAAACGAAAAAATTTCGATTGACAAATTAGTCGGTATTCTCGAAACAGCAATTATAGGACTTGAACAGCGGAACTTTGTAACTGAACAAGAAATTATGTCTGTTTATAGAATTAAAGAGAATGTATTATCACATAAAAAAACGAAGCAACTTAAACAATTTACATTGAAAGAAATGTTTAATAAAGTAAACAAATAAATATTAAGCTTTTTTTTTTTGTAAATTTTGATACCCTTTAAATCATAATTGTTCTTTATTTCATAAAATTACGGTTTCATATTTTTAATTTTATAATTTCTGCATGCCATCTTACCAGATTTAAACTGATGATCTATAATCCGGAATCGCCAAAGTCCCGACGAGTCCGGATTAACGACTTTTGACTGTAATGAACACCCCCACTGAAAAATCATGAATTCATTGACAACTTTGTAGAGCGTTTGCAAACTCATTGGCAATTAATTGTTTGCCTAGCTAGTGTGCAAAAGCAACAACAATTTTCAAAATGGCAATGCACTTTCAAAATGGCAATGCACTATTTCAAAAAGGCAATGCTTTGCTTCATGAATACTTTGTGGTGACTTTTCACTGGGAGATGTGGATAAAGTACAAAACTTAATTATATAATATTACTGTATGTGAGGTGCAAGGTGATTTTCTAAATCATGTTTTATTTAATTAAAATCAGTGATAGTTATTTTTATTTAGTTGTGTTCATAAACTACGGATCTGTATACACATCACATAATCATATTCATAAGCTATATCTGATAAAAAAAAAAGATAATTTGATGAGTGGTACTGAAATAGACATATTAAAATACTTCACCATTTGTATTTAGTAAATTATTTTATTTAAGCAGTAGATTTGTCTTGATGGAGAAACAATAATTTTGAATTAATAGCAATCTGGTGAATCTCAGACGATGATGTTAAAATCTAATATTCTAACAATCTTATAGCTCCTGAATGCTTGTCATTATAACTGTTGATAACTGTTTATTAAATTATATTTCAACAAAAATTAAAAAAAAAAAATTAGATTTCATTATTTTTCTTAATAAATATTTTTTTATTATTATTTATTAGTTGTTATTCTCATATGGTACTTGAGTTCATGGCAATATTAATGATGGTGCTGGTTTTGATTTCCTACTTTTAGATTGATACAAGATATTGCTACAACAGTTTATACCTCTAGAACTTGATTTTTAAAGTAAAAATTTTTAGTTTTATATTAAATATAGGGTACAACTCTGATATACGCCCTAATTTCACCAAATGTGGCGATATGTGTTCTGTGCTGGTTTTTAATGCGATTGCGTGTTGTATGGCAACCCTGTTGACGTTGAAAAATCTTTCGGTGGAGTTCGTTGGTTCATGTCATGCTCTGTGTCTGAGAAGCTAGGGGGGAAGATAAAATGGTGAAAGTTGTTGAATAGAAGTTCGGCAAAAGGAAATATCATCGTGGCCATCCTGTTGAGGGGCAGTGGGTATTTGGAGGTGGGGAAAGAGGGTCTGGGAGATTATTTTTAGTGGCTGTGCATGATAGAAGTAGGGATTTGTGATTATTTGTTATTTTATTTTTTGTGAACCATAGTATGAATTTTCTGGATAGTGTGTCTGGCTGTCATATAAATACGATAGTGATTATGTGGCAGCATGTTAAAGGCGGTATGAAATTGGTATTTCTGCTGTTCGAAAAAGCATTAATTCATGGTAAGTACATCTTATTTTATTCTTGTTCTTATTTTGTAGAATGTTATGTTCATTGTTTTTTTAGTATGAATTTCTGTCGTTATTGTTGTTTTTTTAATTGTTTGAAATTTATTTTAGTTATTTTGTTGATTAGTGCCTACCGTCTAAATTGTGCAATTCGTAGATGTTTTTTAAAGTTGAAACAGAATGCTGTATACATGGTATTCTTTGAAATTTATTGTTGTTATGTTAATTTATTAAAGTGAGGTGTGCGTAGTTCGTAGATTCATTTGCTGCCTAAATTGTGCTATTCGTAGATGTTTTTTTAAGTTAAAACATATCGCTGTGTACATGGACTCTTGTCAAATAGTTTTGGTTAGAAACTTTACGGTTTTGCTATGTAAAGTTTTTGTTTAAATTGTGTGTGCAAAACAGACATTTTAGGCTTAAATTTTGAAATGTAGACAAAAAATTTAGATAGCAATATGGCAGCGTGAGTTGGCAAGAAATTTGGCGACTTGAGGGCGTATATCAGAGTAGTTCCAAATATAGATTTCTTTAGAAATCTGTCAGTGTAATTTCTTTTTAATTCTAAGTGATATATTTAATTAAATTAAATACATTTAATAGATTAATTTGAAAGGGACAGGCATTTTTTTGCCTATGATCACATTTTTTAAGATTTATATCTAAAAAATTTCAATTGATTATTTTATATTTAAAATTTTAGAAATATATTTATAGTCATCTTTATGCAATGCACATTTTTAAGATTAAACTATAAAAATAATTTACCCTGAATTTTCTTTCTTTTCTTCTGAGACAGTATATGTAAGCAAAATTTGAAAGTGCGCCTAATCGAATTAACTGTGTTAAACAGGTTGTACAGATTGTATATGCAGATCATATTATGAATGAATTTTTATGATGAGTTGTGCACATAAATTTAATTTGATCTTAAGTTTTTTTTTCCTTGTAATTTTCACTCTTATTTTTTGAAGTGGAAAAAAATTATTTTATAAATTTTTGTGTACTAAGTAAATTTTCAATTATGGTCTTGTTTAAGTTTATTTATTGGATGTAATTTTAATCATTTAGCAGTAATATTTGTAGGCAGTTTTAGCTTTTTTTTTTTTTTTTTTTTTTTTTTGTTTCTATGTGAAAGGTGGGAAAAAGAATTCAAACATTGCAGAAGTTATAATTCTGCATTTAAAATTGGAAAAATATATTCTAGCAGTGGATGTTGAATTTACATATTTAATTTTAAAGTAATATATAGTTATTCTTTTTTTTTTTTTTTTTTTTTTTGTTTTGTAATTTACATTTTAGAGTGTTATTTCCTTGTGCTTGATTTAAAGAAGAATTTTATTTCGGATACAAAACAAAAGGTTCAGGGTTGATTTTTGCAATCTGTTCAAATTGTAGGACATCTTCCTAAGTACATACATATTACTTCCATCACCTTTATGAAAACTGCCGAAGTTTCAATGTGCGCCAAACTCTGGCAACCATGTGCATAAAAGTTCTTTGATTTTAATCATTAATGTTGCTCTTTTTTTTTTTTTTTTTTTTGTTGTTGTTTCATTCCAAGTTCCGGCAGTTTTTATGGGCAAATCATGATTATTTTTATATTAAACTTGATTTTAAAATATGTGCTCATGGCCTCTAGCAGAAGAAACAGTGGTAACATTTTTGCAGGAATTTTGTCGCATAATCTCTAACGAAACAGTATTTTGAATCTCTTCTCGGAGCAGTCACCACAAAATTTCTAAACAAGCCTTTTGTTTAAACAAAATTTATTTTATAGGGAACATCTACATTTCTAAATAATCACCTCTTTTTATGCTACATTTTCCCATTCAATTCTCGTAGAATGAACCAGTTGTGCAGGAATGTTTTTACTTGTTCATTGGTCTCAAATCGCTTGCCTCCAAGTGCTGCTTTTGGGTGGGGTGTCTAACATGTGAAAATCGCATGGCAATAAGTTTGGGCTGTAAGGTTCATGATCAAGCATTTTGCGGTGCATTTCCAGCAGTTTCTGCTGTGTTTGTGTGGGGCCTGGAGTTGTTGTGGAGGATCAACACCTGGTGGAATGGGACAGTCTCGTCTTTTGTTTTGATACTGAAGCCTAACTTGATCCAAAAGACTGCAATAGTAAGCTGTATTGATGATCAGATGTCCATGTAAGCAATCCACTAGTAGGACCTCCTCCAGTCGCAAAAGACCATGACCAACACTTTCCTCATAAACAGTCGAGGTTTGGCTTTC